TAACTGTTTCTCTGTTTATATATTAAATCCGACCATCACCAATGAACCTCTGGAGAGAGACGGAAAAAACTATCGATTTTAATATTTTGACCGTGATACAGTATCTGTGGGGGTTCATCTGTGGGATTCTATGTTCAAAACCATTTATTCCTGCTGCTGACCCAGAAATTACGCGTTTCTCTTATCTCTTTCTCTGGCTTTGCGATTGAATTTTGATATGTAATAAATTTTATGTATGATTTTTTCTAATTCACAGATGATAGCCTCCACCATTTTAAACCTGTTTTTTTTCCAAGTCAACTCGTATCGTATGAGTATATATATACTAAGTGACATATAAATCCGAACAGCCAGTTTAAATGGTTTTATTTTAATAAAAGTTGGTGAATGTATTTATCTTACTGTAAATAACAAGTGAAAAAATTTCCAGCCTTATCAGTTGGACATTCCGGTTTTATACTGCTTTTTTTTAATTCACTAACGCTCTAAAAATGAATATTTCAGCCGCAGTAAAGAATCAACGTTGGCGGATTTTGGTTCTTGACATCCTTTACGATCGGTTACGATGCATAGAGTACGGAGACATGTACGATTTCGTCAACTTAGTGAGTTTGATAGGGGCCGTATAGTGGGACTTCGGGAAGCTGGGCTTTCTTTTCGGGCAATTGCAATTAGAGTGCAAAGAAGTGTAGACACTGTGATTAGGTGTTGTCAGGCATGGCTTCGAGAAGGCCGTACGCAAAGAGCAACGGGCACTGGACGCCGCCGTAGAACAACAGACCGTGAAGATCGCCGCCTAAGATTATTGGCCTTAAGGGACCGTTTCTCCACTACCAGGTCCATTGCAAATGAATGGTTTGCAGAACACGGAAGATCTATTGGCATGCAAAGTGTTTAACGACGAATGAGATGTTTTGGCTTGTTTTCATACCGGCCACACTGGGTCCTCCCTTTAACTCGAGAACACCGACGTAATCGCCTTGAGTGGTGCAGACAACGGTCACTCTGGGATCAGGAATGGAACAGTATTGTCTTTAGTGACGAGTCTCGATTTTGTTTAGGCATGCACAATGGTCGTGCCAGGGTTAGAAGGCGACGTGGTGAAAGGAGGAATCCACAGTTTTTTGTTGAAAGACATGTTCATCACACTGTTGGAATTATGGTTTGGGGTGCTATAGCTTATGGTTCCAGGTCACCTTTAATCCTCATCAGAGGTAACATGAACGTGCAGCGTTATATCCACGAAGTTCTAGAACCCCATCTTTTACCCTATCTTGACACCCTGGCAGATCCAACTTTCCAACAAGATAATGCCCGACCACATGTTGCAAAAGTCACAATAGACTTCTTTCAACATAATGATGTCACATTGTTACCATGGCCACCAAGATCTCCCGACTTACCCCCAATTGAGCACGTGTGGGATATGATGGGTTGGTGGTTGCCTGGAATGAGATACCACAGGAGGACATTGACCACCTGATCAGAAGCATGCCTAGGCGCGTTAGAGAATGCGTAGCACATCAGGGTGCATCCACACATTATTAAAGGTCAAAGGGCTTTAAAGCAGTGCAATCATTTTGAAATTTTTATCATTTACTTATTATGCTTCATTAATACAAAATTTTATTAGAATAAAACCGTTTAAACTGGGTGTTCGGATTTATATGTCACTTAGTATAATATGTTACTTGAATATCCATTATGTGATAGGTCGCAAAGCAAGGAAATGTTACGTAGCCTCTTAAAAATAGAAAAATAAGTTTTTGGTTATATTTCACTCAGATATTTTCTATCAACTTTAATCCAATATATGCTGTGACATTTGAAGTGTTACTCAATTTCTTTAACTTGTTTTTCTGGCAACATAATCACTACATTTAAAGCGTGCTGTGGCAACACTGTCAACGTTTTATCTTTGTCTCAGTTTGTTAAAATGCTATCTCTTAGTTTTTTTGAAGTAAGCAGTTTCTGAGAGCTGAGTAGTACAGATATTTTTAGTTATTACCCTTTCATTTACTAGTGTTAAGCATAACAAAATGCCTCGAGTTTGGAGACGTCCAAATTATCACCATGTCAGCGACTTTGATAAGGGTAGAATGATTGCCTATAGAGATGTTGGTTTGTTCTATCGCGAAATCGACCGACGTGTTAATTGTACCGCAATGACGGTAATGCATGTGTGTCGTATGTGGATAGAAGAGGGTAGAGGAACACGAAGAAGGCCAACTGGTGGACCGAGGCGTACCACGAGACTACGCGTCAGATCGCTGACCTATGGTTTGGAGAAGAAGGTAAACCTATTACTATGCGTACACTCTATCGTCGCATTCGAGCCTTTGCAGTTTTTTCATACCGTCCACGGTTAGTGCTTCCTCTGACTGCGGACCACTGTTTGAACTGGAGCAGAGACTCTGCCGCAGCTAATCATCTCATTTTGTCGATGCCTGCGGGGTGGCCCAACACATTATTATTATTTTTCTTATTTCTTGTCAATACAATTTCGTGAAAATCTTATCGTTTCATTCCTGATGTAAGACTACCTCAGTGCCAGAAAATCAAGTTGAAGAAAATATTTTTTTATTATGTTATACTTCCAATGTCTCTGAGTATATATATTTTTTTGAAAATTACATTACAGTATTTTTAGCACTGTAACAATTGGAGGTTCAAGCTATTAAAAGAATAAACAAATTTTATACTACCGATCCCTACTGGTGGCGGTGATTTATCTGTTACCACGACTGTAGATGCGTCGTATTTAAAGATGTATGGGCATTCACCATTTTTTTAATCATAACCACAACACCGCCATTACCGAATGAAGGCGCCCAAAAACTCATTATTATGACGATTAACTCAAGAACTCAGTGAAATCTGAAAAATATTAGAATGAATGAAATAACTACAACTTAAAAGATTAAGGAATTTTTTCGTTGAATTCAGGTTACACAGGCGGAGCCGAAACTAAAATTACTCGCCAGAAATCAAAACTGAATTCCCAACTATACTAAGTGACATATAAATCCGAACACCCAGTTTAAATGGTTTTATTATAATAAAATTTTGTACAAGTACTTAATGAAGCATAATAAGTAAATGATAAAAAATTCAAAATGATTGCACTGCTTTAAAGCCCTTTGACCTTTAATAATGTGTGGATGCACGCTGATGTGCTACGCATTCTCCAACGCGCCTAGGCATGCTTCTGATCAGGTGGTATCTCATTCCAGACAACCACCAACTCCTCTCGAAGTGCTTCTAGAGTCTGAGGAGGACGTTGCAAATTGAGCAATCTCCTACCCATCATATCCCACACGTGCTCAATTGGGGATAAGTCGGGAGATCTTGGTGGCCATGGTAACAATGTGACATCATTATGTTGAAAGAAGTCTATTGTGACTCTTGCAACATGTGGTCGGGCATTATCTTGTTGGAAAGTTGGATCTGCCAGGGTGTCAAGATAGGGTAAAAGATGGGGTTCTAGAACTTCGTGGATATAACGCTGCGCGTTCATGTTACCTCTGATGAAGATTAAAGGTGACCTGGAACCATAAGCTATAGCACCCCAAACCATAACTCCAACAGTGTGATGAACATGTCTTTCAACAAAAAACTGTGGATTCCTCCTTTCACCACGTCGCCTTCTAACCCTGGCACGACCATCGTGCATGCCTAAACAAAATCGAAACTCGCCACTAAAGACAATACTGTTCCATTCCTGATCCCAGAGTGACCGTTGTCTGCACCACTCAAGGCGATTACGTCGGTGTTCTCGAGTTAAAGGGAGGACCTAGTGTGGCCGGTATGAAAACAAGCCAAAACTTCTCATTCGTGGGTAAACACTTCGCATGCCAATAGGTCTTCCGTGTTCTGCAAACCATTCATTTGCAATGGACCTGGTAGTGGAGAAACGGTCCCTTAAGGCCAATAATCTTAGGCGGCGATCTTCACGGTCTGTTGTTCTACGGCGGCGTCCAGTGCCCCTTGCTCTTTGCGTACGGCCTTCTCGAAGCCATGCCTGACAACACCTAACCACAGTGTCTACACTTCTTTGCACTCTAACTGCAATTGCCCGAAAAGAAAGTCCAGCTCCCGAAGTCCCACTATTCGGCCCCTATCAAACTCACTAAGTTGACGAAATCGTACAGGTCTCCGTACTCTAGGCATCGTTACCGATCGTAAAGGATACATTCACCAACTTTTATTAAAATAAAACCATTTAAACTGGGTGTTCGGATTTATATGTCACTTAGTATATATTCAAGCTTCAAATCAGGGGTCACATTTACTATTTTTTATCGTTTCTCTTTCTCAATTGGCCAGAGAAATATAATAATCCATATAAAACCAACATGATATGTTTTATGCGTTACATTATTAAAAGTTTAAGCTGAAAATTAATCTATAGGTATAATTCCGAGAAACACGTTAGCAGCACGCAGCAGCAAACTGCAAGTTCCACCTCATCACAGGAAATAACCCAATTTCATGAAAAATAACGCTGTTCTTAGATGCTGCCGCGATTGCTGACAAGCGCGTACCCAGGGGGGGAGGAGGGGGCAGTTGCCTCCTTCTCTCTAGCTCCGCAAAAGTTAAACGGTAAGAAAACTTTTGACAAAAATTAAATTATTCATGTACAGGGTTCTTCACAAGCTGAATCAATAGCTATTAAATTTTTATTAAGGCTATACTTACTCTTATGCACTTTTCGGCAAAAAATGAGCGATCTTTTGCAATAACCACTTTAGTGTGAGTATTAATCGCTTACAGAATTATTTTATAGACTAGTCACCTATAATTTTTTATTTAAAGATGATGGTCCTTTGCATTCAATGTAGAGACCACAAAAGGAAAGAAAAATATCAAGCCTATATGATTTGTGGCACTTCCACCAAATTTTTTTCAAAGTTCTGTTTTGAGCTGGGTACGCCCTTGACAGCTGACTTGCGTTTCCGAATCGCACCTTAAAAGTAAAATAAAAAAATTGTCAAACTCACCCTCTTTGGTAGTAGCTATCGTCTCCCCAGGCTCGACCTGTTCAAAAAACAAACAGGGTTTAATGAAGACCTTGGAACTGTAGGTAACTTTCTTTCTAGGGATATCCTGATATTGATGACCGCGCGGGTCCTTGATGAACACTATTACCACCATTCAACATAGCCGTGTACAGTCAAAAACGTTACTTTCACAGAAACGACATTGTCCGTTGTTAACACTGCCACCAGTCTTTCAACGTCAAGAGTCTTTCATCGGTAGTACGAGTACACCATAAAATAAGTTTTTCGAGTTGATATACGATCATGATGCATCGTGATATGTCCAAAGTTTGTGAAGTCTTTTCATTTTAGCGATATTACGTGTGCCGCTTGTACTACACAGAAGATAATAGTAATAATATTTATTTACTCCTAAATCAATATATAAAGAATAATACAGGGTGTTTCAGTTTATTGTTGCATAACTTTAAGATTCGATAGAACTTTTAAAATTAATACATAAAGTCTATATAAACATGGGTCGAAAAATGCGTGACTTCCGAAATACAGGGTGTTTAAATTTACTTTCTAAAATGGTTTTTTTTAAACATTTCGAACAATATTCGATGTATAATAGTGAAAATTGGTATACAAGGGTTTTTTGGTACGGCAAAACGAACCATGGGCATAGTTCTATTGTAGCCGCTAGATGGCGCTCTCTACAGTACCTGTAGTGTATTAAAATTAGCGAAAATTTTTTCTTAGTGCAATTTTTTGCTTTTTGAATAGAAAAACTGATTCTTCGCACTTTTCAACATAAAAAAGCTCTCCTGTGAGTTTTCGTTATAGTTAGCCGTTTTTGGGAAATTTCGATTTTTAAGGTTCGATGCATTTTTAATTATTTATGATAAAATAACGTTAAAAAGTCAGTATCTCCATAATTTTTAGAAATGGGCTGTGTCTGCAAATATTTTTGAAATTGAAAGCAGAATAAGGTTAAACGTCAATTAGTTGACAGTTAGTTTTGTTGTCTGTTGAAACCTGAAACGTTTTTTTGCAATTGTGAATGCACGAAATTTAGTTTCTTTTACCTGTTTTTTTTTTGTAAGTTTTATAAAAATGCCATTTTTATTCTCCAATCAAGAGTTAGCGGATATTCATTTTGTGTATGGCTTTGTAAATGGAAACGCAGCAGAAGCAGCCAGATAATACGCACGAAGATGGGGGACGGAGAACGAAGAATCACATTTTTTCAGTGGATTCTTGTTAGAACTGATAATAATAGGAAGTTTTTAAGTAACGTTTTATGGACCGATGAGTCATGCTTCACTAGACGTGGAGTGGTAAATTTTCATATCAACATGTTTGGTCGCATGAAAATCCGCATGCAGTTCGGGAAAGAAATTTTCTGCATGAATTTAGTGTTAACGTGTGGTTTGGTATCTACCGTAATCGACTAGTTGGACCCTACCTTTTGCCTGCAAGGTTAAATGCTGCGACCTTTTTGGAATTTTTAAAGGCTGAACATGCAAACAAGTGGGATGATATTATGTTAGATTTAAGAAGATTGGCCTGGTTCCAGCTTGATGGTTGTCCAGCTCATTATTCGAAAATAGTTGGAAACTGGCTGGACGAAAATTATCCAGAAAGATGGATCGAAAGATCCCCTGACCTAAATCCATTAGATTTCTTTGTGTGGGGATTTCTAAAAGAAAAAGTGTACCAAACTCCCGTAACCACAAGAGATATGCTAATAGACAGAATCAGGAATGCATGTGATGAAATAAGGCCTTATTTGAATAATGCTATACCACGTTCGATCATTCGTAGATGTGAATTGTGTATTGAACAATTGGGTTTACATTTCGAGCAACTACTTTAGATTTTGTATGTTTGTCCTAACTATCCAATAGCATTTTAGTTGTAAATAATTAATTTAATTAAAACTATGCCCATGGTTCGTTTTGTCGTACCAAAAAACCCTTGTATACCAATTTTCACTGTTATACATCAAATATTGTTCGAAATATTTAAAAAAAACTATTTTAAAAAGTAAATTTAAACACCCTGTATTTCGGAAGCCACGCATTTTTCGACCTATGTTTATATAAACTTTATGCATTAATTTTAAAAGTTCTATCGAATCTTAAAGTTATGCAACAATAAACTGAATCACCCTGTATAATAAATAATAAAAAAATATGAATAAAAAATACAACTAATCAGCCAATTATTTTATGTTTACATTTCACATATCAGTTGGATACAATTTTGGTTTGCTAAACATTGTTTTTAAAATCATTTTTTTAAAAATATCCAAATCATAAGTGTGAGTTAAACGATATACCGTAGGTTAAATGTGGCTTGGTCAAGGCGTGGTATACGGTATAAAGATATTTTACTTTTAACATATGTTTGATGTATTGATGACCCTTGGAAACATAATTGCATTTATTGACATGAATAAACGAATTTGAATTTGAGTTCTTGAATTTATTTTAGGAAAGATGTAAAATTATTTGAATACATTTTTTCTTAGTCGGAACGCACCGTCACGACGCTTGGACTGGCAGGACGAAACAGTAGACGAATTTCGCCCAAAACGCGATTTTCACTTCTCAGCTTACGTTTTATTTTTATTATTTCCAAATGAAACTCTTGCAGCGTGCTAAACTCAAAGTCCTAGGGTGCCAGCGAACCACTTTTTCGATTTTATCCACCAGGATCTTTTTAAAAAATCAAGAAGTTGAGCACAAATAGTAATCATTTCAACCCACCAGAATTCTTGCGCAAATACAAAACTTTGTAAAAAGCTCTGATAGCACCCTAGGCAATTATGTCCTGCTTATATCCAGAAAAACATCACAAACTGCAGAACACAAATTGAAGGTAACGGCGAAATGGGTACATTTCACGGGTCATGAAATTTAAATGAAAATGCATGTATAAAATCTACCAAATTATCATTCTCAAGAACATATTTCCTTGATATATCGATAATTTTAAAGTTCCACGCTAAATTCGCCTATACTTGATTGGAGTGATATCCGAATTTATTCTTCGCTACTATCGGTAGTAACAGATCTGTTGGCTCTTGGTATCAAACCTGTAGAGCAGATACCGATGTTTTCAAATCGTGAGCACATTATTCGTCGGATTTTCGTAAGTTAAATTTCCTGTAATCACTGGGACCAGAAGCTTCTTAATAATAGAACGTGTTTCACTGATTTCAACCCCACCCCCTTTTTAAGCAGTACAATTTTTTTATGTCAATGATTAGGAACCCCTGAAACGTCAAAAACGGAGTTTCAGCAATTGTTACTTTTTCTTTTTTGCCTATAGCACCGTTGCCACTGGACTAAAACTACAAAGCTTTGGCATACTATTAACCCCGTATGGAAATTTCGTAAAAATCCGAGCAATAATTTCCGAGTTGATGATGAGTGGATTCAGTTTTCGTGATGTAGATGTCAAATGACTTAAAAAACATAACATCTCATTTTAGAAATTTTTCGCGATTACAAAACTTCCTTGCCAAAGGCGTGGGAAGTAAAACGGCTTTAAAATCGAGGAGTATCAGCGATCGCGATTATGAGTACCTATTTGCAGAACGAGTTATCTACGCGATATTATATGAAATAGGGCCACCAAATTATCTGAATACGTCCTTTCTTAGTCCGTACATTGCGCGGCAACGCTTGGGTTGGCAGCACGAAACAGTAGACAAAACTCGTCCAAAATACGATTTGTAGAGGTTGGCGCGCTTCGAAATTGACGCTTTATTTTTTGATATTTTTGGATGAAATTTTCACAGGGTGTTATAGAGCCACTTTTTCATTTTTTTCACTAGGTTCTTTTTAAAAAACTCGCAAAGATGAACAGAAAAAGTGCGCACTTCAACCCCTCATAAAACTTGTGCAAAAACAAAATTTCAAAAAGTGCTCCTATAGCACCCTGGGCAATTATCTTCTCAACATACTGTATGAATTTCATTGAAAAATATTGAAAAATGGAGTGTCAGTTTTGAAGCAGCTGAACCCTTGTAAATGGCTTGAAACTCACTGCCGCCTTAAATGATTGACACTCAAGTGTCGGATGCTATTCATCAGCCATCTATATTATACATTCAAAAAACCTGTTTGCTACTGGCGATAATATAGGGTGTTGTTTACTTAAATGGAATTAGGAAATAGTACGTAGTATGGACTAAGATCTTCTCATAACTGAAAATGAAAATGTTCTAAATTCAGTTTTAACGGATTTATCTAAACACGCCAAATCTTCCATAGCACATATTTCAGTCACCATTAAGTCGATGCTGTTGAAATTTTGTACGGTAACAAAGTAACCTAGGGGTAACGTAGAACTAGACGGACCGTTGAAAACCCAGGGCCAGACTCGATTCTTTCCACTTATTTGTTACTTATCAAAATCAGCACGTTTTATGCTGAATAGTGAAATGTTTGACTATGCACAAAAATTGAATAATGCTAATTAAATAGTAAAAAAGATTGATTGTGCCTCTTTCGGTTTGTTTAGTTAAAAACATCATTTTTATGGGTATAACGCTGCGCGTTCATGTTACCTCTGATGAAGGTTAAAGGTGACCTGGAACCATAAGCTATAGCACCCCAAACCATAACTCCAACAGTGTGATGAATATCTCTTTCAACAAAAAACTGTGGATTCCTCCTTTCACCACGTCGCCTTCTAACCCTGGCACGACCATCGTGCATGCCTAAACAAAATCGAGACTCGTCCCTAAAGACAATACTGTTCCATTCCTGATCCGAGAGTGACCGTTGTCTGCACCACTCAAGGCGATTACGTCGGTGTTCTCGAGTTAAAGGGAGGACCCAGTGTGGCCGGTATGAAGACAAGCCAGAACTTATCATTCGTCGCTAAACACTTCGCATGCCAATAGGTCTTCCGTGTTCTGCAAACCATTCATTTGCAATGGACCTGGTAGTGGAGAAACGGTCCCTTAAGGCCAATAATCTTAGGCGGCGAACTTCACGGTCTGTTGTTCTACGGCGGCGTCCAGTGCCCCTTGCTCTTTGCGTACGGCCTTCTCGAAGCCATGCCTGACAACACCTAACCACAGTGTCTACACTTCTTTGCACTCTAACTGCAATTGCCCGAAAAGAAAGTCCAGCTATACGGCCCCTATCAAACTCACTAAGTTGACGAAATCGTACAGGTCTCCGTACTCTAGGCATCGTAACCGATCGTAAAGGATGTCAAGAACCAAAATCCGCCAACGTTGATTCTTTACTGCGGCTGAAATATTCATTTTTAGAGCGTTAGTGAATTAAAAAAAAGCAGTATAAAAACCGGAATGCCCAACTGATAAGGCTGAAAATTTTTTCACTTGTTATTTACAGTAAGATAAATACATTCACCAACTTTTATTAAAATAAAACCATTTAAACTGTGTTCGGATTTATATGTCACTTAGTATAGTTCTTGCTGCATGAAATTACAGAGTATCGGTTCCTAGTTCCGCTTATTGTGGAAAGTAAAGTAAAATTAAATGTCAAGCTAGTTCCAGGCACATGAGACAATTAGTGTAATTTTTCACAGTCAAAGTTGCTTCACTAAGAAAACATATTTTCAACCACTAACACATACTTCACAAAATCTTTGCGAAACGCTTGAAGCTTTTCAAAACCACGCACTACCGGAGTCTACGCGTTATTGCTTACGCTTCGTCTGGCGATTTTTGAACGTAAAATTTCACCATGGCCATATCAAAAAGGTTCATGGGCGCCGTCAGAAGATCCAATTCATAAGAAATAACAGAAACTGGTGCATACGAGAATGACCGACGAGAATGAAATTGAAAATGAAATGGTTTCAAGTCACAACTTTTTACTTACTATACCTACTGGCGGATGAAGTATTGTAATGGCAATTACTTAGAGATACTATTTTTTTTATTTGTTATAGCAATCTGGACAAATTGAGGACACTGCGTTGCCTATCTCTGGTACATGAGACCCTTTTCCATATTACGAGTATCTTTATTCAAAGCTAACCCTCGTATGTCAGTATGATCAAAGATCCTCTGGCGATAAACGTAACTTACTCATCTCGTGGCATTCGACAGCATCATTCACACGTAGTTTCTGGTACTGGGCACCCAAAAAGTATAACTGTTTGCCAAATAATACTTTGTTGATAAAGAAGGCAGCATGAGCAACTTTAAAAGAGGTTAAAGATGTCCCACATGCAATCGGATGGCTAGAATTTAACTTTACGCATCTCTACAGGTGATTGATTGTTTCCTTTTTCTGAGAAGTGCAATACTTTGAGCTATTCTTTCTTGGTGATCATTGTTGTGAAGTATGCCATCTTAAATGTATGTCTGTCATTCTGTCCGCAAATCATTGATGGATCTATAACTTGGAAAGCCCTGCTCGGTACTGACTTCTAAAATTAGTAATGTTTCGCGATTATAAAACTTTTGTTAATTGCGGAAGCTTCTAAAGATGCCAGAGCAGGAATGAAGTATATGGAGTATACCCTTATGTTTGCATACTATTAATGATTAGTCAAACTTTCTGAATTAACCATTATCAATTCGCATCATTGATAGTTAAAAAGAATTGCAGCACAGGGCGATTTTACAAACGCAATGAGATACTGGTTAAAATTAACACTGCTGGTTGACTTTGCTTGAAAAAATGTCATTTTCAATTATACAAATTGCTGGAATACCTCTATTCTAAGTCGCAGCATTCAACTATACCCAACTAACAATTATCACTCCTATTAGAGTTGTAAGAATGATTATACAGTATTCCTTAAACAGCATTGTATTCTGTAAGAACATTGGCAAAACCCTCTTAGAACTGCTATACAAGCGGAATGGGCATTCCTAATAGGACTCTTCAGTCATTAAAGAGGTTGTATAAGGGCTGCAGGTAACAGTTATACAACAAAAGTGTAAGCCTCTTGCAGCCGCTATAGGACATTTGCGTCAGTGCAAGATTCAGTTTTTGTCAACTATACAACTATTCTGTTACGTGATTCTACTTTATTGTAACCAAACTATTTCTTATTTATTGTATAGCCGAAGTGGCCATTGTGAATTTCATACACAGGTATATGATAAACTTCTACACTGTGATATAAGGATATTGAATTACTTGCGCAGCAAATTTTAGTGTGATTATCGTGCAAAGTAGTTACGCAATTTCTACGGGCTTCGTATTTGATTCATATTTTGATAATGATCAAAAGTATGTCTAGATTTTTAAGATGGAAAACTGAACTTATCTGCGTTAAATCTTCCACAAATCCTATATTTAGACACAATTACACTAATTTTTATCACTTTATATCTGTAATTTCGAACTGAAACATAATTATTTAATATCAAATAGAGGAATAAATGTTTGCCCAATATGGCGGGTGGTTGTGTATAATCATGGCATCGTCCATGTTGTCTTTAGTTTATTAGAATATTTTGGTGTTGCCTGCAGGTATTATACAACAATTTGACAAATGTCTGAAATGAAATACTGACAGAGTCGAATGATTTACCCAGAATTTGTACCAGATCTATATCTTCTGTTTGAACAGTTGATAAAACCTTTAGAACCAATATGTATGCGTTGTTTGTCTTAAAACATTGGTTATGGCATTTTAACAAAAATATGACAGCAGAAAATTAGGTTATGATGAAGTTGTATACCAACATATTTAGCATATGTACAGACTTTAACAGTTACTAAACAACAGTTATATAAGTGCTTCCGTTGGGAGCAGTTTGTTGGCTAAAATAGTAAATTTGCACAGCAAAACAAGGCTCGGGTTTGTTTTATAAACGTTACCATGGATGCCACAACACAACCATTTTGACTAACCTGCAAATATGCCGTATAAAATAGTTGTATAAACGTTTATACAACAGTTAAAAATTTGTCCTATAAGGTGTTGTGTAACTATGCTACAAGAATATTTTAAACACCTCATTTTAGAGCAAATATGTTGCAGAAAGCAAATTTGCATTCCACACAACATTAAGCCAGCATTTTGGTGTTCAGGCAACAACAAGAGAGCTTTTATGACTGAACGGTTCTTTTACCAAAAGCTTATAGTACCACTTTGCTAGTTGGGTACTTTTCCAATATTCTACACATTGTCACTATCCCCATTTAGCGGCGCCCATGCAGGTATTGTTTAACCGTCATAGTGTTATTCTTTGATGACGTACCATTGTTTCCGATAACATCGATTAATATGCTCAATACCACAGGAAAAGAGTACTAATTAGGATCACCATTACCATCTGGTTATGGTTTGCTTTCTATACAAAGTGAGGCAGGCACCAGCTGACTCAGTTCATGCAGGTCACTACTTTTTATTGGATTCAATAAGTATATTTTTTATGTTTAAGTAGCCATGCTACCATCTCAATCGCTTAGTATACTAAGCGACATATAAATCCGAACACCCAGTTTAAATGGTTTGGACGTTGCAAATTGAGCAATCTCCTACCCATCATATCCCACACGTGCTCAATTGGGGATAAGTCGGGAGATCATGATGACCAGGGTAACAATGTGACATGATTATGTTGAAAGAAGTCTATTGTGACTCTTGCAACATGTGGTCGGGCATTATCTTGTTGGAAAGTTGGATCTGCCAGGGTGTCAAGATAGGGAAAAGATGGGGTTCTAGAACTTCATGGATATAACGCTGCGCGTTCATGTTACCTCTGATGAAGATTAAAGGTGACCTGGAACCATGAGCTATAGCACCCCAAACCATAACTCCAACAGTGTGATGAACATGTCTTTCAACAAAAAACTGTGGATTCCTCCTTTCACCACGTCGCCTTCTAACCCTGGCACGACCATCGTGCATGCCTAAACAAAATCGAGACTCGTCACTAAAGACAATACTGTTCCATTCCTGATCCCAGAGTGACCGTTGTCTGCACCACTCAAGGCGATTACGTCGGTGTTCTCGAGTTAAAGGGAGGACCCAGTGTGGCCGGTATGAAAACAAGCCAAAACTTCTAATTCGCCGGTAAACACTTCGCATGCCAATAGGTCTTCCGTGTTCTGCAAACCATTCATTTGCAATGGACCTGGTAGTGCCCCTTGCTCTTTGCGTACGGCCTTCTCGAAGCCATGCCTGACAACACCTAACCACAGTGTCTACACCTCTTTGCACTCTAACTGCAATTGCCCGAAAAGAAAGTCCAGCAATCCGAAGTCCCACTATACGGCCCCTATCAAACTCACTAAGTTGACGAAATCGTACAGGTCTCCGTACTCTAGGCATCGTAACCGATCGTAAAGCATGTCAAGAACCAAAATCCGCTAACGTTGATTCTTTACTGCGGCTGAAATATTCATTTTTAGAGCGTTAGTGAATTAAAAAAAAGCAGTATAAAAACCGGAATGTCCAACTGATAAGGCTGAAAATTTTTTCACTTGTTATTTACAGTAAGATAAATACATTCACCAACTTTTATTAAAATAAAACCATTTAAACTGGGTGTTCGGATTTATATGTCACTTAGTATATTTCATATAGTGGAGCAGCAAGGATAAGGTATCACTAAAAGTTTTGGCTTTACTGTTGACAAACACAAAATAATATCAAGTTGTCTTTGAAAACAAACATTTGTTTACTTACTTTACTATCTGTTGATATTTA